CATTATGGACAACCAAAGTTACCAATACCAATGTGCATGGATTGAGACCGTTGGGTATTTTGCCCAACTACGGAGACCGGTCCCACCTGTCACCAGGCTTTAGGGGTGGCGTCACACCTGACCGCTTCCCTTGGGAAGGGAAATTGCTCTGGCATAACGCCGGGGGCTACTGTCGGTGATATGGGACCGGGAGTATCATGGCCAGAGGCTTGAGGCAGACACAATCGCCCACGTGGCCTGGCACCTTCGGGGACGTCGGGCCCGAGGGTGAGGTGTCCGCCCTCCTCCTGATTCCCCCCGAGGGGGGGTCGGGTTGCGCTTGCCCCGACCCCGAGGGCCGAGGCACCCCGACCCCTTAAGGAAGTCTGCGCCACATATATGGGATAAGTGAGCACAGCTGTGCTCACCTAACAGCATTTATTGCGGTCTGGTCAAGCGTGTCACGCTGCATGCAGCGCAATACAGCGCGCTCTTTTATCCGGTCTGTGACCAGTCACAGACCGGTCAGATCAACGGTTAGGTGGCGACTGGCGGTCTGACGCACGCCTCGCCCCGTCCCGTCAAGACGAGTGCCTCTAGGCACACGTCTCCAGCCGGAGCTAGCGTGTTACCTCTTAGAGATGGCACGTTAGCCCTGGTTAGATGAATACCAGGCTTCATCCTAACCATTACAGGCAAGGTGTTACACGAAGAAGGGCAAACATGCACGTTGTTAATCTGACGCGTGGTGGACAAGAATGACCGGTCTGACACTGGTCGCGTCAGCAACGAGCAGCCACGATCCCACGTTGCGCCCGTCTCCGCCGGGAGTGGAGGTAGGTGTGGGCTGTCCCATCGAAGTGTGATTCGGACGGCAACCATATCAATCTCCGTTCGTAAAGAGAAGGAAAGTCCAGTTTGGAAAGGGAAGGGTGCGTGTGGTATCCCCTTGAAGTATAAAAGGAGGACCTTGCCCACAGAGTAGAGGGTTGATTCTGGCGAGATTGAGAGCCTAGAACAAGGGAGAGTTTGGCTCACACTTTGTAGCTCATTCATACACAAATCCACAAAAACACAGGAGTAGGGTATTACGCTTGGCAGCGGCCCGAACCTGTATACATCGCCGTGTCTCGCGTTCCCTTGCTAGCAGACAATCTTTCCACATACAGAGAGAGCTTGAGATCTCACCCTAAGCCCCCGGCCGAACCGGCAAAGGGGGGCCTGCGCGGTCTCCCGGTGAGGAGCCACGAGCTCCGTCAGATAGTGATATTCAAAGTATGGCCGTTGGTTTATTTGCATAAAGCTAGTTTCACAATTCTTTTCACAAGCTTATTATCTAGCATAGACTAGTCCAGTTTTAATTCCAGTATTTATTACACAGCAACGGTTCTTTTCACCATCCATTGTCTTCCCAAAGATGGCTTCCCGTTACTGGCTGTAATGGTTTTCTGGGGTTTACTCCTTCTCGTCTCTCGAGAAGATGATCCACCAGTATAAAATCATCATGCATATCCCATCTCATTCAATTTAAGAATTTAGAGTCTAGCCAAGTGTAATACATGTCCTGATGCTCAATATCCGCGAGCACGGCTATTCGAATAGATTGGTTTTACTCACACTGCAGTGGATGTACACTTTACCCGTACTCCGCGACTTGCCCAACACATGAGCCTACGTCCCAACGAATGAGACTTGCCAAGGCAAAACCTTTCAATAACCTCACGTTGGCAGTACCCGCTCCATGAACTTGCATCCTCATGCACTCCATGAACTTGCATCCTCATGCACTCTAGGTGTCATGAGTTTCTAGCAGTGAGAGGAGTTCTGGCGCTCCCGGGAAGGGAAGACTCACACATGCATTAAGTTTTAGTTAAATTAAATTTACACATGGCAGTCCTACCGATGGCGGCACCACTATAGGCACTCGCCCCTCGCGGCCCCACCAATGGCTGTCCCATCGTAGGCCCTGACTCCCACACACCAAGAATAACCACTATGCAGGGATACTGCCTTCGCTCGGCTACGTACTCCGCTAGGTCTATACCCATACGAGAAGTACGGTTGTACGAGGGTCGTTTCATGCTTAACTTTACGGCTCGGTCCTTAACTGACCAGGGACGGCACTAGCCTTTTCTGGACACCACCCAAGTACCCCAGCCGCCCCGGTCGAAAACAGTGTTTAGTTTTGTTTCTCTTTTCACAATTCATGTTATCCTTGTCATGGCAATGTGGTGCCCATGCCTCCACATGCCGCATCTCAACTACCTTCCTTAAGGTAGTTGCCCAAGCATATAGCACTTGATAAATATGAGAATGCATGATTCTAATTAGCATGACTAAGCATTTGTTCAATATCGACTAAGTACACACGTTAGCAGGGTTTACAATGGTCATACAGATAATCAATATCAAGGCATGGCATATTTAACAAGTAGGGCATTCATATTCACATATGTATAGCATGTAATTTTATTTAAATCAACATAATTTTCGCAATAGGTTCAACATGCTCAAAGATTAGTGATGACTTGCCTTGATCGCAGTCTTGCTATCCCTGCTCCTCAATCGACTCAACAATTCCCTCGGAATCTAAATTTACGTGCGAAAGATCGGATTTGAACTCAATTAGAATTCAAATAAATTCACCAAAATTCAAACAGTACAAAGCATATTGAGAAAATGTTATCACCAGATAGATCTTGATTTTAGATGAATTTAGGTTCAAGTTTCATTCAATTCCGAGTTAAGATGAGTGAGTTATGCTTGTTTAAAGATTCAATTTTGAATTAATTCAAACAATTGTGAAATGGCACTGTGCAGCCGAGAGGGGCATTATTACAGTGGCTGACATGTGGGCCATCCCCCTATTTTATTTCTGGTTTTTATTTTTTTAAAGGAAATCCTATTGTGTCATTGACAGGTGGGTCCGGCCCCCTGTTGAATCTCCTGTGGGACCCGCATGTCATTGAGACATTCACTTAAAACCTAATTTAATTAGATTTCTAAGCATCCGGGCCTACATGTCATAGGTTCATAATAATATCATTAGTTTTAGGGATTACTGTACACTAATGAAGTGGGGTCCACATGTCATAATCTCTCCCTCTCTCGTGCCTTCTCTCTCTCCCGTCGTCTTCTTCCTCGTGCTCGCGACGAAGCAGAGGAGCGGCGCGCGACGGTACGACGGCCCGAGCCGGAACGGCTCGGCGCACGGTGGGGCTAGCGGCGGCGCATCACCGGATGCCCGCCGGCGGCGGCGGCGAAGCGCGGCGACCGTCCGGCGCACGGCGCGACGGCGCGCGACGGCGCCGAGATCCCAAAATCGGCGGCGGCACGATGAGGACCAATGTGAGCGCAACCAACAACGATTCAACCATCTAGGGTCCACATGGAGTATATAGAAGCAAAAATCTAGCCTAGGTTGTATTGGAACGAAGTCCCCCCACGGTGAGCTCGGCCATGGCGCGGCGGCGGCCGGAGTCGGCACGGTTACGGCGGCGCACACCCCAAATCGAGGGGGCCGTTGGTTTCTAGGTGACCAGGCGGGACTACAGGCGCGAGGGCTTACCACGAAGTGGCGGAACGGCGAAGTTCGACGGCGAGTGGCGCGGTGCGGTCGAAACAGGGGCAGACGGCGGTCGGCGACGGTCGCAAGTGTTCGATGCTCGTACTCCCTCGCGTAGCGGCTCCCGGCTCCCTCCAACAGCAGCAACGGCAACGGGCACACCTCCTCAACACACCCCGCCACCCACACCGGCCGAGAGGCCCTGCGGCGGCGGCGCAACCCCCGCCCACCAGGTGTTCGACACCCGGCGGCGGCGCGATTTTGTTTTCTCTGGGATGGAGCAAGAACTCCGGGAAAGGGGAGACGAATGAGGGTTCGATTTTGGATAAGGTCGAGCTAAAGGCGAGCTTATAACAGCGAGAGGGAGGGCGATTCCTATTGGATAAGATCACTCGATGACTCAGCCATGTTTCGATCTCTCCTAGGTTCGATTCAATGCCTTGGGCCGGCATGATTGCCTAGACGATAGGGTCCCAGGAGAGGGATCATTAGCTGTGGGAGGAACCCCCCCTATTATCCAGCGGTCTCGGTGGGGTGCGACAGGATGGCGACGCGACGGTGACAAGAGCGACGGCGACGGACAGAGATAACGACTTGGATAGGGGGCGCCGGGCTATGCCCTAGGGTGACGCGGGGTTGTCGTGGCGGCCGTTATCACTCCATCCCGAGGGCGACGTGTGAGGGGACGGGATGACGCGGGCACCCGTGGCGGCGCAGCCTTTGGCGCGGGCTTTTGGCGGCTTGGTCGGCGGCGGGCCCACGCGGCGTGGCATGACGCGGTGCGGCGCACGGGCACGACTAGTGCGGCGCACGAGTCGGAAAGCAGGCGCGCGGCACGGCAGCGGTTGGAGAGGGCGGCGTCGGGTGTTCGGTCGGGTTAGGCACAGATCGAACACCTGGCGCGCAATGAACAGTAGCGCCAGGAAAAGAAAAAGGAAGAGAAGAGAAAGGATAAGGAAAAAGGAAGGGCTAATCTGCAAAATGGCTTGGAATTGAGTTGTAACTCTATCTATTTTGGATTCAAGAATTCAAACATTTGATTTGAATATTTATTTGGTTATTCATTAGTCCCCAAATGAATTTGCTTCCCATCATCCCAAATACAAATATTTTAATTTGCATTTTTATTTATTTATTCATATCTCTACCAAATGATATTACTCTATATTGGATTATTCCAAAATTAACTTAAATAATTGGGGGGTTTTGATAGTCCTAAAATTAATTAAAATATTCAATGGGTCCATTATTAATACAATAGCACATTGGTTGAACTTATTTGCATAACAAGGTATTCATGTAAATTGTAATTATTATTTAGATGCGCGTCTTTACTTTGATTTTTCCATTGAGATGATTTATAGTTTGGCAAGCAATATCAACCATAACATCCATCATGATGCAAAGTTTTAAAAAGTTTAAAATTTTAGTGATTTTTATTATCGAGGATTTTTAGGATGTTACACTTAATCTCGCGAGGACTCAGTCTCCTGCCACGCGTTGCATCCGCATCTGAAGTCTACGCCGCGTCACCGCCGCAATCCTTTCGCCCTACTCCGACGCGGTGTCCAAGTGCCGTCCTCTTCCGGCCTCCGATGCGGTGTGGCGGCTCCTCCTTTGGCCGCAGCTTTTCCCCTCCCCTCGGTCCCCTCCTCCCCTACGCCTCTCGGCTGCCCCTGTGCGGTGCGGCAGCTCGTCCTTTGTCCATGGCCACAACTTGTCCCCTCCCCTCCGTCCCCTATGCATCTCGGCTGCTGGCACCTACGCAGTCTCCGGCACAGGATCACGATACCCTGAGTTTCTTTATGGAAGATGTATGAGAGAGATGAAGTATTTCTTTCCTGCTGGACATTGCTTTGCTGCTATATTCATTGGAAGAATCTGCTATGTTGATGGGAGAGGCTGAGTTTGATTTATGTTGTGTGCCAAGTTCTGGACCTAGTTCCTTGTCTTTTGATATATGTAATGAACCTACTTGATTTTGCTGAAAGTATGAATGTAATAATAGTAAAAAAGAAGTAGATGTTCTGAAAGTTTGTAGTTTCTTGCTCTGATGTGTAAACTGTTCTTTCGTTGTAGACCTTAAACTTACTGTTTCATCTTAAACAAAATTAACATCAGCGGTCATTGAACAAATTGTCAACTATCTTGAATAAAATGGACACTATTACAACTAGTGATCCCACAAACAAACTTCTGAAATTCTTCGATCTCTTTTCTTTGCTTGCCCAATTTCTTCTTGCTTGTGCGATCCATGGCCAAAAGCCTTTCAGCCATCTCAATATCTAGCTTCGTTTTTTCTTCTTTCTGTCCCCTCCTTCTAGGGTTGCTAGTGCTCGCGATCCAATGCATACCACAGCGATGGCGATTCCACGAACAAAGGCTTGCGATGGCGTCGGCGGACGAGCTGCCGAGGCCATATTCGCCACGCTGAGCTCGTCGCCATGGTCACCTCTTCTTGTTGGCGCATTGAGGTTGTCGTCATCCAGGGATAGAACGACTCCCAGAAGTCGGCGGCGGCCAGACCTGGACCGGCTATAGGAAGGGCAAGTTGGGAATGGGCAGGTTGGCGACGGCTGGTTGCAGTGAGGGAGGAAGCGAAGTCCGGCGAGATTGGCTGCGCCGCTGCTAGGGATGACGGAAGGGGATCGGGAAGAGACAGATTACCGGGTTGGGGACTTGTACCGTCTCTACAAAAATTGACTAACCACGCGAAAATCCAATTCTGCCCTTCCACCAGTTCCATACACGTGAACAAAGGGGGAGGTACCCCGCACCGGATTCCCGTAACTCGCGGTACCGACAATTGTGGGTCGTTTGATCTGGCTGAATGGACGGTTACGATTGCAGTACCACGCGGTACCAAAAATTCTGCTGGACAGTAAAAATTCTCTTAATTTTTATAATTGTAGATAAGTAGAGATAGAGATAGAGATTGACCGGTCTAACAAAAGGTGTAGACGTGGTACACTTGAGCGCGTGAAACTCCATGATGATAAGGTTCGATTGTTAAAATCCTAAGGCAACCAAGATTACTATTTAATATCTATTAAAAGAAAATTACATATAAAAATTTTTTGAAAATTTTATATAGATGTAGCTGTGCAATTTCTCAATTGGTTAGTTTCTTTACAGCTAATCCAGGCCACCCATGTTCAAGTCCTAAACTTATTAGCATTTACGGCTAATTATTTTTTCAGTCGTAGTCCTAAACTTATTAGCATTTACGGGTAATTATTTTTTCAGTCGTAGTGGTAGGTGATCTACCGTCGATAGCAAGATATCCGTGGTGACGTCATCAATTTTAAAATATGTTGGTCCGGTATTTCGGAGGTGCTCATAGGGGTAGGGTATATACCTGTGTATGTTTATAGGGATGAGTATATGTGCCTGCATTTGTATTTTGTTTCTTAAAAACATCATCAATTTCGAGATATGCTGGCCCGATATTTTGTAGATGCTCATGTATTCATGCGGGTAGGGTGTATCTGTGTATGTTCGTATGGACGAGTATACATATCTACGTTTTTACTATACCAATCAGGTTTTGCCTTCAAACCTATACCAATACCAATCAGCATTGGATTCGTCAGCAGATGTGTTGATTTGCATAGGTGACCGTCTACACGGAGGAGTTAGCACTAGTCCAATAACGAATTTCCCGTGCGGTCGAAAGTGATTTTCGCGTGCGGATCTTCCACCCGTCTGTAACGAAGTGCCTGCAAAAATTGCTATTTTTGCGTGCGGGTGGCGCACCCGCACACGGTGGTTATGTTGCCCGCACGTAAAAATGAAAAACCGAAAAAAAATCCAAAAAAAAACCCTAACCCTAAAGTTGCTGCCGCCACCCTCCTCGTGGTCGTCCTCGTCGTTGTCGTCATCGCTGTTGCCGGATCCGCCGCCTCCCCACCGTCCGAGCCCGCCCACCCGCCGTTACCGCCGTGCCGGCCACCACTGCCGCCGCATCCTGGCAGGGGACGGCTACCGCCGCCAGATCCGGGTTGGGGGCAGGTGCCTCCGCCGGATCCGGGCAGGGGCCGGTCGCTCGCCACCGTGCGCACGCCATCGAGCCCGCCGCTCCCGGTTGCCTACCGCCAAGCCCGCCGCTGCCGGAGCCGAAGGAGGCAAAGAGGTCGGAGCCAGAGGAGAAGGAGAAAGTGGCGCTGGCGCCGGTGGTGTGGCCTGCAGGATGCGAGGTCCACGCAGCCGCGTGGTGCTAGCTTAGCGGAAGTGAGGAGAATATTGAGCGGAGGAGAGGAAAGTGTGGAGAAGATGGAGGGGGGGGGAGAGGAGAAAGGAAATTTGATTTTTTTTTTGAACAGGTTCATAGGGAATGAGTATTTTTCCGTGCGGGTCTATTAGGAGGCCCACCTGCGAAAATTGATTTTTGCATGTGGTTTTCACACAGAACCGCACACAAAAATGGAGGATGATTTTCGCAGACGCGACTAGTTATCTGCAATCTAAATGGGTCCCTGTACAAGAACATTGTTTTTTAAGTAGTGTAGCGAACGTCCTTCTATCAAGAAGAAGTGGGAAGACTATAAGTTACCCATCTATGCTCTAAAAATACTATAAGTACTCCTTAATTTATTACCCATCAGCTAAAGATTTACGATGTTAATAGAGTCACCAACCATCTCGATCTAGAGAACTCTAAATCAATATGGGGTTTGGGATAGGACAAAGGCTGTGTTCAGATGACCCTTTTCCCAACCCCTCTCCCTCATTTTCCACGCGCACGCTTTTCAAACTGCTAACCGGTGTTTTTTTTTTACAAAAAGTTTCTATACGAAAGTTGCTTAAAAAATCAAATTAATCCATTTTTGTAAAAAAAGCAAATACTTAATTAATCATGCGCTAATGGATTGCTCTATTTTCCATGATCACTGTTCCGGATGGGAACTTGTTCTAGCGAACACACCCAAAATCCACTAACGGAGCCAATTTAGAGATCAGACCAACCTCTAGGTCAATTTGGATTGATTTGAAGTTAACCATCTGTCTCGTGGGCGAATCAGAAGCTTTTTGAGACAAACCTATAGAGCGTATATCACTTGTCGACGAGCTATATCTATCTATGGTATTTGTAGAGTATGAGGATTGTTAGTGCTAGGGTATGCACAAGATTGAGGAATAAGAGACAGAATATATCGATTTTTATATAGGTTCGGACCCCTTAACTGACAGGTAATAGCTCTTCTCCTGTTGACCGGAGTCATTGTTGCCTTTATATATTAGTCTCACACGAGTACAACATTTGAGTTGACCTAATCTAGTCCCTATCGATCTAGCAGCATGGAGCTCTCACATGTGATCGACGACTTGTGCAGTCTTATTCCTCAAACATGAACTCGACGAAATTGAATATATCTCTAGATCCCTCATGTCCACATTGGGTTTGTCTAAATTTGTCCTCGTGTCTCTTTCCTTCTAGGGAGTCTTGTATTTATATCATTGAGTATCCTCTTATCCAAGTAGAACTAGGTAACTGATACAAACACACCCGCAAGGGGAGGCTCGATCTTCACGGTAGTAGGTTTTGAACCAAAGAGCACCGGTGTAAACCGTGCACAAGAGGATAACTAGCTTTATACCTGCAAGGGTTGGATGCGACCAAGTGGTGAGGGTGAGAACGATCCGAATCCTCTTGGATTCCGACCCATCAAACCAAGCAATCACAGAACCATAATCCAGGACTAATCCACACAAGAGGGGGTAAGACACTTATGCAATCTTCAACAATCGTCTCTCATCTATGCTTTTTATAAAGTTAAAGCCCACTAAGTATAAAGCTCAACATGCAAACATGCTACCTTATCATTCACTAGCAACAACTAATTATCAAATAGTTCATACAAACATGCAATATCATCCATACTTTATTTAATTCTACAAATCAGAATGCAAATAGATCCAATCATCACCTCTCTCATCATTTCCATAATATTTCAACAAATATATCCATCATTTTTTATAATACTTAACATACATACATCCATATATTCTGTATCAAAGCGAAGATATTATTTAGTTTGTTTCATGTTTACTACTAATAAATCCTAACTTTTCATTTCTTTTTCCCCTGTCTTCCGCTTCTTGCGATACAAATTTTGGCCAACAACATAAATTTCATCTATAATCCTCTACAAAGTCTATTAAATTTATTTCTCTTCAAATATGGCTTGAAAAAAAATCAGTTTTATTTGTTGTTAATAATTAACATCATACTTACTTCTTGCTCGATTGTTGAAAGATATATATGTTAGAAATTACTTAGTAATTCTTGCAGTAAAGCGCAGGGAATCACCTAGTATATCTATAAAGTTCATCCCCACTAAGTGTAGTTAATGTTATTTCTCTCTTCTCTCTTGAAGCCGCATCATCTCAATTATTTTTAGCCATTGTGTCGGTGACATGGGACCGGGAGTATCATGACTAGAGGCTTGAGGCAGACACAATCGCCCACGTGGCCTGGCACCCTCGGGGGACGTCGGGCCCGAGGGTGATGTGTGCGCCCACCTCTTGGTCTCCCCGAGGGGGGGGGGTCGGACCACTCCTGCCTCGCCCCCGAGGGCCGAGGCGCCCCGACCCCTCGCGGGTTCTACTCCGCGTGCATGGGTTAGGTGAGCACAGCAGGGCTCACCTAACCGCATTTATTGCGGCTCGGCTAAACGTGTCACGCCGCACGAAATACAGTGCACTCCACTCGTTTATCCGGTCTGTGACCAGTCACAGACCGGTCAAATCGCGGGTTAGGTGGCGACAGGCGGTCTGACGCACGCTTCGCCCCATCCCGTCAAGACGAGAGCTTCTAGGCACTCGTCCCCAGCTGGAGTTAGCGTGTTACATCCCAGAGATGGCACGTTAGCCCCGGTCGATATATGCCAGGCTTCATCCTAACCATTACAGGCAAGATGTTGTGTGAAGAAGGGCAAACATGCACGTTGCTAAGCTGACGCGTGGTGGACAAGAATGACCGATTTGTGATCGGTCTGACACTGCTCATGTCGTCAGCACACAGCCACGTTCCCACGACGCGCCT